GTTAAATGTAATGGCACCTACTATCCTTGTGCCATGAAAAAGTGGCACCATGAAAATGGCACAAAATGAAATGGCACAAAAAATGAACCGGTATCAGTAAGATAAGTTTTTGACTGCCAAAAGAGAGCTTGCATGCCGAAGCCTTGGAGAACAGCCTCTTCTGCCAGCTTTCCAGCTTTGCCTAGTGCTGGAAGGACCTGCACTTCCATTTTGGTTTGCAGAGTTCCCCATGTTGAAGCCTCTACCAGCTGCAGACTGGTGCCTCCACTGCAATTCAGACCTGAGGTGGAGGTTGCCTCACGTTCAGCTAGGCCAGGAGGCTTAAGAGGCAGGTGACTTCCTCAGGTCCTCCTGCCTGCCGGTTTATGTTTAGCACAAAGAGTCACAGGCAGGATGCAAAGTCTGGGAGTTGAGAAGGATGGACTAAAGAGAGTCTGGGTTTATTGTACAGGGGTATGGGCTCAGTCACGGTGCTCAGCCTGGGGGGATGTGTGTCATACGTAAAGCTTCTTCCTCCCTTTTTTTAAATTAATGCAAAGTCTAAAAAGCATATTTTGAAAAATTAAGAAATAGGCATGATGGCTCACTCTAGCATTCTTTTCTACAGTCACCGTGTCCCGTCATGCAGACTTAAAAAAAAGCAATTTCTATATTGCAGTTTGTTGCAGCTTTGTGAGGCCTGGGTGGCCACAAACTACTACTTGCAGCCCAGTGCTCCAAGGACATAGTACTGCTGGCAGACACAGCTTGGCTCTGACCCCAGAGAGTAGCTACTTCTGTTCTCTGGAGTCTGAAGTGGAAATGGCTGACATATTTTCTTAGTTCACTGCTTCTTAGAGCTTATCCCTGAGCAGCCGTAGCTAAACTCAGCATTTCTGTTTTGAACATATCTAGTTTGCCAGTTTATGCCATTTGTGACATTCTCTACACAAATCCACAACAATTCTTTTCAGAGTAATTCTTCTCATATCCATTTCCCCCAGGGAATGCACTGGCATCGCCTATGAGATGTTTAACATTCAGTGCTACTTTACTAGTAAAAGAGTTGTAGAGGTTTGGTGTTGAGATGTCTAACCTTAGAGTTTGAGGTCTGGCCTTAGAGATGTGGCCTTAGAAGCTGAATGTTTGTCCTCCTTGGAGGCTCCACAACATGGAGTGTTTCATACCCAGGAAGAGAGCCCTTGTCGCCATCTCCTCCTTTCTCCAACTCTGCCTACTCTTCCCAGCTGCTTCGTGCACCCATTTCCAGCTACCAACATAGTAGCAGCAGCAAACCCTGTTATCTATTCTGAAACCTGGGGATAGGGGAAGTGACCTGTTTCTGTATCCTCTTGTCCTTTAGAGTCACTGACTCAAGAAGCTGAAAGATAATGGAAGTCTGTGCTGAAAAAAAACCACCACCAAATTAAGAAAGCCTGTAATCAAGTAATGAGAAAGAAGACATGACTTACTTAAGGTTATTGTACATCTGACTGTCTGGGAGAAGTCACTGTCTGCTACAATGCATGTCCACTGTTTCCAGCTGAATCTGCTGGAATTTCCAGCAGATTGCGTGATACTACAAAAATTTCCCTAAGGTTTGGTTCCTAATGCTCAGTGTTTAAAATCAAATAGTATTTATTCCTTGTTTGTTGCCTTGTTTCTTTTTAATGTATGACTAATGATCAGGCCTTTAAACATGATCACTTCCAGGGTTGCATTTGAACACAGTCCTCATTTAGTTTGCAAGCGTGCATACTTAATTAAAGGCTACTTGGTGCAGGTAGTTTTGGTGGCAGATATGCTTGGGTCTTCATGGGACCACACAAAGTTTGTTGTGATGTGCAAATCTGGAATTAACCCTGGAATTATCAAGCGCCTTGAGCTGCACAAACACGTGAAAGGAGCCTTTTTCCCTGCTGGAAGCAGTTCTCAGTAGAGGGCGTTTGTGAGATGTGTGGAGTTCCTCATTCCTACCCGCACTGATTTTGCATCCCTACGTTTGGGAATTACTGATGAAGCAGATTTGCCTCCCACGTTTCCAGGTTGTTGCAGTCCCTGCCCTGTGGTGTTGCACTCCCAGATACGCTCCATCTGTGCTGGTTGATTTCAGCCTGTGCACAGTTTCTTTACCACTAAGGAGCCTTAACTGTGGCACTGTCTCCTTTGCTTTTGTGCTAAGTACTGTGTCACAGCTGTATGATGAGATTGTCTCTAGACTGTAATCTGAAATAACATCCAAAGAGGTGGGTGGATTCTTTTGTTTGAAAAGAGAATGATGAACAGTTTGTATGTGGGGATCTGAATTCTGGCTGGTTTATGTTAGGGTCTGTGTATCTTTTCCCTCTCCTTTTTGCCTCTGCAGGAAATTATATTTATGCTGTTTGAGTATATTCCCTTGTCTTTACGCAGACATCCGTTGAATGACATTAGAAGCATAATCTAACTTTCTGTTTCCTTTGGGCTGGAGACACAGTTTCCAAAGCTTATTTCCCTGCTGTTCAGAGTTCTGAAAATATAGAGTAGATAAAATCAAGTACTGGTAAAAATCAAGAACATAAATTCCTACTGAGTATGTTCCTAATTCCTCAACCTTAGGAATTCCATCTTGTGGACTAAAGGACAGGTAAAACTTACTAGGATAGAAGAAATTCTCCTGGAGGGCAGCAGTAGGAGTGGTGTTATTGTGCAACAAAAAGCAATGGGTCTCACCTCTCTTCATGCAAACTGCAAGAAATTTATGCCAATAGAAGCTTTTAAAGTGTTCTTCTGTTGATATTCATGCAAAAAAGATTCAGCTTCCTGTTGTCCCAGATAAATCAATATTAAAGACATTTTGACTTTAAACTATTCTTCCAATGGCAATCATATTGGTTGTTCAGGTATAAACCCATTTTCAAATAAATTAGTGAGAGGTCCATAGTCTGGGGTCACAGTGTTGAAGACACATACTGGATCCAACCAATGGGAACCAAAAAGACTGATTCGGACTGTTTGCAGAAACCTGAATATTGCTGGTCTTAGATAAGTTCATGTACGCTCAGCAAAGTAGAGGGTCCCAGCAGTTGTGATAAATATCCAAGCCGACAGTGAGGCTCCCTTGGAGGGAGTGCAGTTGAATTTAACACTGTGTGAAGGAAACTTGATCAGTAGCAAGAACCACTTCCAGAGGAGCTCTGGGACAATTCCCATCAGCTGCTAGTGGTAAAGGTGAAGTCTCTAGCCTGATCATTTCTGAGGACTAGCACTGGCTGGGTTTTCCAGTAAAACTAATCAGCATTATATGAATCAGTAATTTACACAATTTTGAACACATTTATATATTCAGGGAAGTGAGAAGGGTCACAAAGATCAATCAATAGATACAGAGAGGTGTAACTTTTAAGAAGCAATAATACCTTTTGTTTGATGTCTTTTAAACTTAATTCCTACACTGGACAGCATGCCATGGACAGGGTATGTGTTACTGCACGTGTCATGCTTTGCTTCTGGTGTGTCAGTGGTCAAACTCTTTCTCCCACTTCAGCAAGTCCTCTGTGCATTCATTTGCTTTCTCCACACACCTGTCATAAACCCATAGGGCTTCAAGAGGACTGTTTTAATAATGTGAACAAGCAAGTTCACTGCAAGCTCAATTATTCTCCCTTTTGAGAAGATGAAGGGAAGGAATCAGTCTGCAGAGCACGTTGCTGGCGAATGCTGTTATTCCTCCACCTTAGCTCTTTATCTTCAAATGTCTTCAAAACTTCAGTCCAGTAGGTCTGCCTCTCTTTCAGCATATTTGCACTGCTACCTGCATCCATGGCGTCTGCTGGAAACAGGCGGAGCTCTTTGGAAAGCCTATTCATGTGCAGACAGTGGGAAGTAAAAGATACTACCTCACTGAAAAGCAAGAAACACTAGGGACAAACGCTACACTTAGAAGAGGCAAATAATGTTTATTCTGCACTGTGTTATACCATTTGCATAGGAAGTCATGGATAAAACACATCGCCTGTCCCCATTTCCATAGTCGAGGCTAATGTGAAATGCAGCTTCGCGAATCAAACCCTAAAACTTTAAAGGCAGCTGATGTCTTTGAGTAGGATCTATTCAGAGCCCACAGCTGAATGACAGGAATAAACTCGCTTCACCTCCAAGTCCCTCGCTCCCGTCACCCTGCATTTCAGAGCGGGTAAGGTGCTGGCAGACGGCTTTCCCGGAGGCGATCCCGCCCTCCGCCCGACGGGGCGGACAGCTCTCCGGTTTGCCGGGCAGCGCCTCAGCGGGGGCTGCTTGCGGAGAGCAGCGGCGGGGGCAGAGGCTCCCCCTCGCCCCCCCCAAGCCGCCCCCATGGCGCTCAGGGGCTGGGACCCCGCGGCTCCGGGATGCGCGCCTCCCTCCGCGCCAGACCCACCTCGGCGTCTCGGGGCTGGGGCGCGGGCACCAGCGCTCGCAGCGGGAGGAGAGGCGGGGCGGCTCCTCCCAGCACCAGGTATAAATCGGGGCTGCGGAGTGAGGAGCGGGCTCTCTCGGCGCCTCGCCGCCGGCTCCGGCTCCGCCGCCCGCAGCCGCGGGGCG